AGGTCTGAACTAGCTAGCATAGCCTGAGGAACTGATCTCAGAGGCATCGAACGCCGCTTCGGCTCATCATGGTCCAACTCGATCGGCATCGATGGACAGAAACCACCGACGAAAGACTTCACATGGTCGCACCCTCTGAAGTACTCAATGTCAAGGAGTCAAAAGGCATGCCTCAACTCTTAAGATCTCTTAAGCAGGCTTGAATGCTTCTCTCAAGCTACCAAGGAAAAGTGGACAACCTGCCAAACCTTTTTTAGGGGATTAGTTTCTCCACTAAAATCCAGCCGGTGGAGAAAGGTTGTTAAACCTTCAAAAACGGCTCCGGGGTGTTCCACTAGTCTCAACTCACGAGCGAACAGACCTCGCGGCGCCGCGCCTGCGCGGTCACGTCCTCCTCGTCCTCGATCGGCTCGTCACGAGTTCGCCCAGGCGGGCGATAAAGCCAAGCGGCTCTTAGAGGATCAACGATTCCAGGCGCTTGGACGGTGCTTCGGTGCTGCGCGACGTGCGGTGCTGCGCGGGAATCCCACGTCTTCATGAAGTGCCCGATGGATGTCCACCGCATCCATCGCCCCCAATTCTTCGCCGGATTGCTGGCGACACCATCCGACTCGAAGTCCCCGCCGGTGGATCGACGAGAACTCCCAGAGCCGGGTCTGGGGTCGTTCGGCGCCCTGACCGCTCTTCGCGCGCGCGCGTTGCGCGCCACGCGAACACCGGTGCTGGACTGGGCACCGCAGGCGCTGTTTGCCGATCCCGACTTCGCCATCGAGGACCCCGTGGAGAGAGGATGTTTGGGTCAGTTATTGCACCTGCGGTCGGGAAGCAGGTAGCGTTTGCGCGCTTCGGAGCATGCTTGTACTACACACCACTGTCACATGAATCATTCAGCGTCATCAAACTAATTTTTGACCGGTTTTGTTCTATAGGAGTTTATAGGACCTGCCCTTACTGTTGGGTCATTTTGCAAGTCGGATCTAGAGAAATGACTCGTCAGGTTCCCACCAATTCCCACCATTAATCAAAATATATCGAGCAGCATGGTTTCAGATTGTTTCATAAAGTCTTTGCACAATTAATTTAGCTTTACACTCGGAATATCTCGGAATAGGTGTTTTCTTTCAACATGAGTGAACGCTGCAGCCCAACCGAGAAGATGTGAATCCATCGATCAGAAGTGCACCCTGGGAGCATGTCGTTCTCGGCTTTGAAACCGGAAGATCAGACGAAGCGACTTTCAACGACTTCGACTCGGAGAGGGTAATGTTGACCTCCTATTTGTAAATGGCCCGTGAATAATACTAATCTTTTCGAAAACCAATAATAAATGGCCCTCAAATAATACTAAATGTTTTCTGGACCTTGATTTTCACCTGCTTCCAGACCTTGATTCATCCAAGCTGATTCTGAGCTTTCAGCTGATTCCAAAACCTGATTATTTTGTGGTTTCCTTTACTCTTGAATTTTGATTTGGCTGCTGCATTTTCCTTTTAAACTTGCTTATTTGGGCATTGCCATTTGTAACCTGAAATCAACCCACAAAGACCACCCCCCACGAGCAGC